GAATTTAATTGAAGTGTATGGTTCACACACACACACACACACACACACACACACACACATATAAAGGCACAATCCTGATATTCACATCTTGGAGAAAATCCAAATCCATGTATGGATTCAGATTGTAGATTTTTTTTTCCTTTGATGGAAAAGAAAAATTATTTATCACTCACCTAAAGTTCCTTTGTCACTCTCTTTCCAGTTTCCTTCTTGGACTAAACTGTAAACTCTTACATTCAATTTTAGTTTAAAAACGAAAAATGAAAGAGATTGCGCTGGCCAAAATAGTCTGGAGGCATTTCCTGTTTTCACTCTCTTCAGTGCTGTAAAGAGGTCCTGTAAAGGGGATGAGGGTTGCTGAGAGAGGAAAAATAAAATGCTTTGAGGGCAGGAGAGACGGGCCATGGTAGGGACTGTTTCTAGTCCTGCCTGTTCAAAAAGCAAATGCAGCATTTGGTAGGTTAAACTGAAACTGTATAGAAAAGATAGAAGCAATTGTATGAATTATAGTTGTAAGTTTGATGTACTGAACAGTGGCCTGGTTCACATATAATATTAAATTATGATGTTAGTTATAAATTGCCGTGCTCTATGCTCTCCCCCAACTTTTCCTTTCTAGCCCATCCATAAGGAAATTGGAAGATTTTATTTCCATTTTCAGTCAACTGTGGTTATACTTTATATTCGATCCCAGATAGCTTGGGACTAGTACTAATTATGGATTAGGAGACAAATACCAGACCATGGTTAATTATAAGCTGATCTTCCTAATCATGTTTAAGACTGACTGTTATCCTTAGGCTGAATCTAGTAGGTCACTTAATTGAAAATAGTAGTAAAATTTTCCAGTTTTCTCCTCTTGGGCATTAGTAGGAAGTGAGCAAGAATGGAGCCAAAGCTTTATTCAGGTTCATTCCTATAGGGTTGCTGTATCGTAGTATGATTTAGCATTTACACACACTCAAAAGAAGCCATTAAGTGGACTCACAGAATATGCTAAGCCTTAATGTGACTGATTGATTGATTATTTAATTCAATTTAGCTGCTGCCTGACTCCAAATCAACTCTGGGCAGCTCACAATATAATCAACCATAAAAACACAATACGGTACTAAACAAAATGGGATCCAGTCATCCATCTTAACCCACGGTCTGGGAGGACGACTAGATCTTCAAGGCCTTATGGAATGCCAGCAGGGTAGGAGCCACATGGATTTCAGGGGATCCTTTAGAGTTGGTTCTTCTGGCTGACAGCATTAGGTTATGATGGACCTAAAACTAATAGGAGAAAAGGTTAAAGCATATATTATGAGTGGTTATGCTGTATATTGTCAGGAAAAAAAAATATCATGAAGTTCAGGCTATTTCAAACTGACTAGTGGTTTAAAGCCAACAAGGAAAAAAAACCCCATTATTTAAGAAGGATTCAGGGAAATTGGAACTGGTCCAGAGAAGGGCGGCAAGAATGATTACAGGACTGAAAACTAAGTCCAATGAAGAGAGATTGAAGAAATTGGACGTATTTAGCCTTAATAAGAGAAGACTGATGGAGGGGGGTTTGAATTACCCTTGGAGTCCTGGATGTTTATGTACCCAGCCAATCCAATGAAGGGGGCTGGCTGAAAGCACCAGGTGAGGGTTTATGTAGAGTTGGAGGTCCTTGTTTAACTGGAGGTGCTGAATGCCTCTGCAGAAGCACCTCTGGATTTAGGGGGTCCTTGTGGTTGGTTGTGTATGTATGGTGGGTGTGCTGCAGGCTTGGGCATGTGCCAATATGGCCAGGGGAGGGGGGAAGTCTCTGGAGTGTTGGGGGTGCTGTAACATCTCAGTAGTGACAGGTAAGGGGAGATATGATTGGAGACCAGGGGCGAGCTATTTTTGGGGATTGCACCACAGGTATATTGTTCCAGTGGTGCATTCTAGCCCCTCAATCTCATTCCTGGGTCTCAGCCAACAGACCCTCAAGGCCCAAAGCTCTTGCCTGCTGCTGCTAAACACCAGGTCAGTCTGCAAAAAGGCCATCCTCATTCTTGACTTGATCATGGATGAGAGGCATATATTACCAAAACCTGGCTGGGACCAGAAAGCGGGGGGGGGGGGGGTTCCCCGCTCTGAGCTGTGTCCAGCTGGGTTTCAGGTGTGACATCAGCCAGAATCCCAAAGTAGGGTGGTGGGGTGGCAGCTGTCACCCAAGATACTTGGGAGGCTTCCAGGGGCACTGCCTCACAGATTGAAGAGTGGGAAATCCTATTTGTTGAGCTGGGCTCTAAGGGTCAGTTGGGAGTATTGCTGTTGTACTGAGTTCCTTGATTCTGGGGCTGGGTTGGCAGTGGAGTTCCCCATGCTCTGGGTCCCGTCAACTAAGGAATACGGGCTGGCAGGCCCCAGACAATGAGCCTTTTCTGGCTTGGCATCTGCCCTTTGGAGCTATCACACTCCAGAGATTAGATTGGCTGCAACCTGCTGGCCTTTTGTAAGGCCCCAAAGACTCGGTTCTGCTCAGGCCTGGGACCCCAAGTGCATGAAGGGACCTGACTCCTGGCTTTGTGGATGACAGTTGGTTTTCTCGGCTGCTGTGTATGTTAATTTTTGTATATGTATTTGTTTTATTGTTTGTCATTCGGTCACCAAAATGGGTGGTTATATAAATTGATGCTGATAATAATGATAACAACAACAACTTGAAAATATGTCACATGATGTTCATATCTTTGCTGCATCAGACATTCTTTTTAGGCCTGAGCACATCAGCAGCTTTCATCCAGTCACATCATGAACACCAGTATTATTTGTACTTAACCGCTGTTATTCTCCAAAAACAAATTGGATATTTTCCGGGGAGAGGGGGAGCTGTCCTCTTCCAGTATCATGTTAACATTGTTCTGGTTGGGAATGTCTGTTTGCCTGCCTCTAATGAGTGACCTTTCTGGAAGTGTAAACTTTCTGGAAGTGTAAACTCACAACAGTATACTTCACAGCATCGCTATAAGGTGAAGGGGAGAAATAACAGCATTCTTCAAAGACTGAACAGGTGTTACATAGACGTTCAAAATCTGTGTTCCCTCATTCCAAGTACAGGACATGGAATTTCACTTACAGGAGGCCAGGTTCTGATTGAATTTTATTAAAAACTTCCTAACGGAACAGTTTTGAAGAGGAACCAATTATGCAGAGAGTTCCCCTTTGTTGGACGTGTTCAGTCAGAGGCTAGACAGCCATCTGCCTGGGGTGCTTTAATAAGGATTCCTGCCCAGAGCAGGAAGTTGGACTCAGTGACCTAAATAGCCCATTCCAACTCTGATTTTATGAGAGGGCAAGGGCAAAAAATTGGCTTTCAGGATTTAAAGCAGCCTTCCCCAACTTTTTGCCTTCCACATACGTTACACTATAGTGGCGCTCCTTTGCAACCAGCATATTCCTGCAGCCTGGATCAAATTAAAAGACTCAAACATTCTTTGGCAGCGTCTCAGGCATCGCACCTAGTTCAGCTTTAAGGGAATGTCTGAAGGCAGGTGATTATTGCTCACTTTTCTAGATAATCTGAAACAAGCTTTTATGGGAGGGTGTTACTTTTTCTTCCCCACACACATCCCAGAGCAAAAACTATAAAGTAGCTGGGAATAGTAACTGGTTCACAGTGTATGGTTCCCACTTGATGCCTGTTAAATCCCATGACAGGTTTGATAAAGCTTTCCCATTGCATATCAAGCCACCTCAAGATTAAAAAGGGCCCCTTGGCCCCTGGTTGTAGTGCTCTGTGGGTGCACAGCAGTCAGGGGAGTGACCCAGTGCCTCAGCTTCCTCTGTCTTTTTTCATCCCAGGCTCGAAGGTAAAAGAGGCGGCTTACTGGAGGATGGAGGTCATTGGACAGTGGCGGCAGCAGCGCTCATGGCACTCCAGCATGGCCCAACCAGCTGTCCCTGAAATTGTCCATAATGTCTTGGAATCAGCCATTTTAAGAGTGGCCACCCAACATTCATTAGAAGAAAACCAGAAAAGGAAATCTAGCTAATGGGTGTCAAGCAGCCACACAACGTTGTCACTTGTTGGTGTTAACCCTGTTTGCACCTCAGCAGTGTGCCTTCCAACCGAATCCTTGCTGCCTCCCTCACCAGTCCAAAAAGAGGGAAGCACAGTTAGATATAATAAAATCCATTATGGGCAAATGCACCTGAAGCAGGTTGGAGGAGGTTCTGCCGAATTACAGATGGATGGAAGAGTTCCTGAAATTAACTGTTTTGCTGCCCCCTTTCCAAAATCAGGGCGATTGTTCCCATTCTGGTGAAATCGGGCACGCTACCAAACAGGTTCTCTGTGGCCTTCTGGTATAATTCTAGGGATTATAATGTTGTTAGGGGCCCTTGTCTTTTTATATTTATGGCTTCCCTTATTTTAATGATGCATGCTTTGTTGTCTCTCCCTAGAATCTTTGGTTTGCAAATCCAGGAGGAAGTAACAGTATGCCCAGCCGAAGCCATAGTTCTGTACAGAGGACCCGCTCACTGCCTGTCCACACCTCTCCGCAGACAATGCTTATGTTTCAGCAACCTGGTAAGTCTGATCCATTTTCTTCTTCTCCAGGGCTCAGTCACCCTCTTATTTCCCCACCGAAAGAGCGATGAACACATGAAAAGTATGGCTTAGTAACAGTTCCTTTGAGGAGACATTTCAAAGTAATGATTTGACAAGACTTGAAAAGGGTGAATTCTTCCCATCCCACTCTCGTGTCAGATTGAATTAGAAATAAGCAATTTCCCCTTGAACTGGAAAAGACCGCCATTAATCTCTGGACTAATAGTCATCCATCATGATTCTTATAGGGGGTATTTTTAGTGCTGCATGTTTTTTGGTATCAGTTCCCATTTCATTTGATGAAACAAAATTTCATTGCATTTATTGCACAGCAATTGAGAGTTTTGATTAAATTCTCAGGATGAAATGTGGTGTTCTTGAACTTAGTTACGAGATGGCCAAGGGGTATGTGCAGTTCCCCTGCTTCCCCCTTTTCCTTTAAATTATCTAGGAATGCTTTGTGAGGGAACTCCTTCCCTGGACCTTTTTCAGACTGGGAAATGTGGGCAGTCAGGGAGACCTCAAAATGGTAGGAAGAGGGGCAATAGAAAATAACGCCAACAGTAGCGTTACTGTCCCTTCCAAGAGCCAAGTAAAACACTATTTGGAGAAATTCAAAAAACATTCTCAAGCATCTTGAAAATAAGATAGGAAAGCAGAAGCCTCATTCACAGGAGAAAAAACCTCGAGAAATTGCAGTACAGATTCTGGCACAGCGTTAGTTACTTTAAAGTGCTACACCCACAAAGAATGCTGATGGGAGGGACAAAACCCTCCTGGGCAACAAATCCTCTTCAAGAATTAGTTCTAGAGAAAAGGATTTTGACTCCCAATAGTTGTAGCTGGGCTCTACACACTTTAACTGTTTCTGTTGAAATAAGTGGGAGCATCATGTTAAACCATGAGTTATTTAACCATAGTTTGTTGATTAAGCCCCAGTCGGCTGGGTTCATAAATCACACTAAGCCATAGATAGTGCTTTGCAGATTACAATGTCATGCAGCATGCTAAGAAATCACAAATCAATAAACAACAAATAACTTATGGCTTAACAGAACACGCAAACCTTATTTGTTGCTGAGTGCAACATGTAAACCCAGCCCGTAGCCAGGTTCACCCTAAACTGTGCTTTAGAGTTCATAATGGCTGGGGGTTACACAGAATGAAGTCAGAATGAAATAAGCCACATTATGACTTACCATGTCCTGGGAATACGCCCTTTGTCAATACGTGGCCATGCTAATGTTAGCACAGTCCCAAAAGTTCAGGGATAAGGAGCAATCGGCGTCTGGCTTTTTGTAGCAGGAGATTTGAATGGTGACTTCTGGGAAAGGATCTCATCATAAGATTTCAAGTATCGTGAGGAAGAGAAGAGTTAAAGGTGGCATCAAGTTGGGTTCAGCTTCTGCAGATTGCATGAACAAAAGCTTGCTGTCACAACTTGTTCCTAACTTTTTAAAGAAAGTTGCAATTGCATGTTTTATTCATCCATGTGTTTCTGCACCTGACTGTGCATTTTTCTCCATGGCATATTGATGTCTTCTGTCTTAATTAGCATCTTTGATAGATGTAGGTATTGCAAGGGGTTGGAATGTTACCCTCCTTGGCTAGAGTTAATCACCACTTGATGGTGGGATTGTACCATCTTCAGATTGCTTCAAAATTATCTGTCCACTGTCCCAGAAGAACTGAGAGAACTGCTGTTGAGCCTAAAATGGGAAAGTCTTTTTTTTTTCCTTACAAAATATTCTCGCTCCTTGTAATAGCCATACCCTAAAGTTCTGTTCAGTTGCAGGAAAAGCCTTACAAATCATTGCAATGGTTCTCAACTGCTGTACTTAGTCCTCTCATTATCTTTGCAGAGTTCCAGGTCCCAGTGACAGAACCTGATATCAATAATAGGCTGGAGTCCTTATGCCTCAGTATGACTGAACATGCCCTGGGAGGTAAAAGCTGTTATTTTTTTCTTCTTTCTTGTCCGCTCAGATTAAAATTGCATCAAGCCTTTCTGATATTGTGACCTCAAAGCTCAGACTCCTGCTAGCTGGGCGATAGGGTTTTCATATTTGAAAGCTGCATATATGCCAACACATTGTCCTCTCTCACTTTTGCCATCAGAGTTGTTAATCTTTGCAGTTTCAGGCTTTCCTCCTCCCTCAGAGCACGTCAGCACCTGAACATTACTTCAGCTTTAATCAAACCACGTTAGAAGCATTAGTGCTACTTGAACTTGTCCTCTGCTCTTCCCCAGTAACTCATTGGATTTTATTTATTTTATTTATTTATCATATTTATATATGACCTGGAGGAAGGATTCCTTCCAACCTGGGGGCTCACCTTCCAGTATCATGTTGACTTTGTCCTGGTTGGGAATGCCTGTTTGGTTTTTCTGGTGGAGTACTGGAGTGCGTGGCCATTTCCTTTTCCAGCAGATCATATTTAGTCTCATTCCTCATCTATCACCTGCCCATTTACCTGTGTCCTAGGTGGGCCTTGAAGCATCCAGGTCAAGCCTTCAAGAGCTGATCTAGAGGGATGCCTTGTCTCCTCAAGTGACCTGCACAATCCTAATATTTATTATGGTTATTATTATTCTCCATCCCATCTACTCAATGAGCTTTCTGCATCACTTACAAGAAGAGTAAAATAGCATAGAGTTAAAACAAAAATTAAAAGCAATCAAGGGTATGGTCAAAAAAGTTAAAATAGTGGCCACAACATTGCAATCAAAGGTCTGCCTTTTTTCATGTGTCACACATAAAAGCAGGCAGAGCTTTTATCAAACCATCATGGCCACCATCTTCACTTTTGGACCATACCCTGTAGACACTCTTGAAAGCAATCATTATAAGCAACAATTGCTAAAATCAGTAAAAGCAGAGGAAGTCCAAATAGGGACAACCAGAAGATGAATCAGAATTTTAGCATGGGATAGAAAGGAGATGAGGCTGACGGCTTTTATGTTCATGTTACAAATTAATATAAGGACAAATCTATTTAATCCTTGTATGTGAAAATGTTCTGAGATTTTCCTGGCTTCTAAAACAACTTCAATTGTGTTGGGAGAAGAGGAAGAAAAAAAATCTTCTTTTTGCAACTGCTTTAAAAGACATCTTGCTGAGACATTTCACAACAAGACTTTGTTCTCTGTCCATTGTTTTTATTCTGAAATGATCAAGCAAGGATTGTGCTTGACATAACATCTTAAAAAGAGAGAAAAGAATTGAGGAGTTTGGATTGAATTTAGCTTGTTCATTTTTTTTTCACATGAAAGCTAAACAAGATAGAATGGTGGTTCCCCACCACCCTCCAATTAGGATAAACAGTAGAAGAAATGAAACCTAAGTATCAGACACATGGACATGATTGTTTGGCTAACAACATTAACAGGGAGAACCCTAATAACTGGCCCAGGAGCAGGATGGTGATTAAAGATAGTTGTGGGACAGACTGCCTCCATCCTTAACAAAACCTGCTGTGTCTCTCCACCATATGTGCCTATGTAACTTACAAGCCGCAGCCTTACCAGCAGACTTCAGAGGTATTTCCTCTGTCTCATTCCTGTGCTAAATGGAGAACATTATGCAGGTTTGTGAATTGGAAGGAGAGGAGGCAAGAGGTGAAGTTTAAATTGACAGTGGCTCCTTTCCATTTCTTCTGCCCTCTTTGAAGTTGTCCAAAGTAGGGCTACCAGATTTATGCTGCAAAAAGAGTTCTGTAGATGACTGCTAGATAATATTGAAGACTTACAGAAAACTTTAACTCCTCTGCCATCTGATGGTTGTCCAGATTTTTGCAACCCAGATCTATAGCTGTACTTCAAAGACAAGAAGGGATGCACAGTAGAAACTATTGAGAGATATAGACATGGTTCACACTCTAAGACATACTGTAATGTGGCTTATTTGGTCACTGAGGATTATAAACCATGCCTTATGGTATAGCATGTTGTGGGAACCAAGCCAGCTGTGGTTTATTCAGTTCAATCGTGGTCAAGAAAACCATTGCTTAGCACAATGTGCGAATCAGTCTCTTTGATACAATTGAGAGGGACGAGAGGCCATCAAATAAAAATTCCTAACTGCTGAATGAACATGTTTATCTTAAAACAGAGAAAGCCACAAGATTCTTCAAGGAGACAGTTATAAAACTACCAGCTGTCCAACTAGAGAGTGTAAAATGGTCACTAATAAAATACACAGTGAAACTAGTGATTTATTAAAGACAACTTTAATAAATAAATCGAACCTTTGTTTATCCACTCCCATGTATAGGAAGGGAACCACATGATTGCATCCTGCTTTGCACGTAGAATGTCCCAGATTCAGTGTCTGACAGTTCTGGCTAAAAGACACTGATTGTATTGGAATAGCTGAGCAATTATGTTTGACCTGGTGAAAAGTATTTTATGCTTTTCTTGAGCAGATACCAGGAGAGATAAAGGAGAAGAACAGGTGTCAGAAGGTTAACAACTACTTGTTATTAAAAGCACAAAGATTTTGATGGAGTTATGAGTGCTGTTTGGATGAGTGAATGGATGAATGAATGTGTTTGGTGTTCTTTTTGCTACTAGTCGTAGATCGCCATCTGCTGGATTTGCTGAAGCATTGTCCCCTTAATGGTGCAGAGCATATAATCTATCTCATTCACATAATTTTGCAGTGCTGAACAAATTGGAATGAGTTTGGGACAGAGAAGGGCTCTCCTCTTGTCCCATTTCTCTTGCTCATGCCCAACCAGGTCCCCGCCCAATCAAATTTATTAGAATGAATATTACCTCACTTCCTTGCTGGGATAAGATAAGTCTTCAAGATGATGCCAGAGCTACATCAGGGATGATCAGCCGTTTGAGGCAGTATGTGCCATCATATAGTTTTGTATAAAGGTATAGGTGCCTCCTCATAATTAAAGTTAAAATGACAATATTTTGGTGGTCTTCTCTTGCAAGCTTTCCTGGGAGAATACTGAAATCTAATGAGATTAGATACCCTTGTAGGGGCTTAGCCATGTACAAATATTTAGCTGTTTGTGGTTACTATTTAGCAGCATCATAGGTACTATGGCATCTCAGTGGGCTGTACTGCCAACCCCACAATCTGGAAAATCTAGTTTAATTGACCTAACCTGACCATCTGCTTCAATTTCTTCCCAAGAGAAACCAAAGTAATCTTGGGACAGCACTGCAATTTATCTATCTAGCAGCGCACTTTCTCCCAGCTTTGCTTCATTTCAAAAAGGCTTGTGTTGGGTTGGAGATATTTCCCAATGGGCTGACTCTGTATTTTTCACTGTATGATCATAATTGCCAGATTTGTCTGTGGAAGGGCCTGGAGAGAAAGGATAGAAATATTCAGTACCCTGCTTCACAAAAAGGGTAGGTTGAGTTCAGTGGTCTTTGCATTACTATATCCCCCTTGCTCCTAAAATTGCTTCTGAATTGGAAAGCCATCATGGCCAGTCTGCCGTTCCTTTTGTGCAGTGGCTTATCTAACCATGTCCAAATCCTCACAGATGGTGTTGACAGAACCTCAACTATCTAGAAGATGGAAGAATCTGCAGTGACAGCGCTGGCCGTGAGAAAATTTGGCTGCTGGACCAGTGGTAGATTTGATGAGTCCCTTGTCATGCTAAGGATCCCTGGAGATACTTTGCATCCTTTTCATTGCTGTTTCCTTCTGTTCTTCTCTCTGCCTTCTCTCTCTTCTCCATCTCTGTTTTCATTTTGTGAAGGGCTGCTTATCTTAATGGTTAAGTCAGAAGCAACACAGCAGTTGTGTCATCGGAGACAGCACACACACAAAGAAAACATCTGGAGGAAGCAAAGCAAGTTGGGGGGCTTCACCTAAGGGCTGGCATCCTGGTGCATGTCTTAAAAGTATCTAAGGGCAGGCATCTTAGTAGCAAGGGAATAGGCAAGAGGTCTCCAGTGGAATTGGGGGCGAGGGGCATGTTAGATGCAAGTCTTCTATATGAAGGAGACATTTAAGTATATTATTGAAGCATGGTCAAGAAGAGGGGAATAATGCATTGGCTGTCTGTAAATATGAGCTGTATTTCACTGACATTCAAGCCACAATGGGAGCTGTGGTTTCATTGAGTGGGATGGAACGGAAACACAGAAGGCCAATTGGTTTTGCCTCAGTGACATTAAAAAAACTAGCTTTGAATCCTGAGCATTGTTTACAAATGAAGGCGGATAGAAAAGAGCATGTTACACGTGCTTCAAACTCCACCTTCCTTCTTCTCCTGCAGAGAAACAATGGGGTAAGCCAGCCTAATTTCCAAACTTGCCCCTGGAGAGCCATCGTGCATGGCCAAAGTTCCTGCTGCTCTGGGAAACTACCAGTGCCCCAGTCCCAGTTGCCACGTTCCTGTATGAGATTGTATGTACATGGTGCAGATGAAATCTCTTGAAGAGATCCAGTGGCCGGGATAAGGACACCCCAAGAGAAAGGGAAACCAGCAGGTTCAGCTAGTCCAAGAAGAAACAGATCAAAGCCCTGTGATCTTGGAGGAACCAGGGATTCCCACTTTTCTTCTCATCTTGCCATAATAATAGATCTTTTGCATGGTACCTGTGGGTGTGTGCGTGTGTGTGCGTGTGTGTGCG